TGTATTGACTGGCATTGTATTTATTGTATTGTATTATGGTTAGGCTAATACTTAAATATTTCAAGGACCCTAATCGAAATAGGACACCGAGTTGTTTTTGGTGGGGGCTATTCTACGTAATTTACACACATGTTACTTGTTCCTACATATTATTATTATTAAAATCAAAACTAAGCGCTAAACCCATAAGGGTCAGTACCTAAATAAACCGACCGACCGACTGACTTGCCAATAATTAACAAAAAGGCACAGTACTGTGACATTGCGTCATTATGTACTGGAGTGTGATAAAATTAATGAATTTAGAAACAACTCACTCAGAAGTGTTCAAGAAATGGCTAAGTATTTTATCCACAGTGGTATATTGCAGACCATTCTGGAGAAATACCCTGACTTTGCTAGCTGTAAATAAAGCATTACCACATGTGTGCATGTGTGCATGTGGTGTGTGTGTTGTGTGTGTGTGTTGTGTGTGTGTGTGTGTGTGTGTGTGTGTGTGTGTGTGTGTGTGTGGTGTGTGTGAGGGTGTGTGTGTGTGTGTGTGTGTTGTTGTGTGTGTGTGTGTGTGTGTGTGTGTGTGTGTGTGCGTGCGTGTGTGTGGGTGTGTGTGAGGGTGTGTGTGGGTGTGTGTGAGGTGTGTGTGTGTGTGTGCGTGTGTGTGTGTGTGTGTGTGTGCGTGTGTGGGTGTGTGTGTGCGTGTGTGGGTGTGTGGGTGTGTGTGTGTGTGTGTGTGGGTGTGTGTGTGTGGGTGTGTGTGTGTGGGTGTGTGTGAGGTGTGTGTGTGGGTGTGTGTGAGGGTGTGTGTGTGTGGGTGTTGGTGTGTGTGTGTGGGTGTGTGTGTGTGGGTGTGCGTCCTTGTGTGTATGCATATATTTGTACGCTCGTGTGCACATGTCCGTGCGTGCGCCCTCGTGTGTGTATGTGCGCGCGCGCGCTAGTGTGGGTGTATGATCCACTTAATATTTGTATTTATAACTCATTACAATTGTGACCAGGTGTGGACGTATCAGTGGTTCATTACTTTGTAATTTGTTCATGACTGTAACCATGTATAGGAGTGAAGCTGATTCATTACCTCTGTAACTTGCCATGATTAGTGACCAGATCTACCTGGAGTTCATTACCTTTGTAACTAGTTCAGCTATCATAACTTTGGGGTCCAGTCACTGGACCCATTATGTACCTTTGTAATCTTTTGACTACCGCCCACAGGATGGGTATGGGGTGCATAAAGATATTAAACTAAAGTGTGTGTGTGTGTGTGTGTGTGTGTGTGTGTGTGTGTGTGTGTGTGTGTGTGTGTGTGTGTGTGTGTGTGTGTGTGTGTGTGTGTGTGTGTGTGGTGTGTGACTCAACAATCAATATTTGCACCAATAACTCATTACAGTTGTGACCGGGTGTGGAAGTGTGAATTGCTCATTACTCTATAATTTGTTCATGATTGTAGCCAAAGTGTAAACGTAAGTAACCATTCTACAGAATTCATTACCTTTGTAACTTGTGAGCTCATTACCTTTGTACCTAGTTCAGCTATCAAAACTTTGGGGGCCCAGTCCCTGGACCCATTACGTACCTCTGTAATCTGTAAATACCTTTGTAACTTGTCATGATTGTGACCAGACTTACCTGGAGTTCATTACCTTTGTAAATTGTGAGTTCATTACCTTTGTAAATTGTGAGTTCATTACCTTTGTAAATTGTGAGTTCATTACCTCTGTAACTTGCTCAGCTATCAAAACTTTGGAGTCCAGTCCCTGGACCAATTATGTACCTCTGTAATCTTTTGACTACCGCCCACAGGATGGGTATGGGGTGCATAATAAACATATTAAACTAACTAACTACTGTGACTGGAAGAATATACAAATAACCCGCACACTGGAGAGGGGAGCTTACCACGACGTTTTGGTCCGACTTGGACCATTTACCAAGTCAGTAAGAAATTAAAGTTTGTAATGAAATGCTTGAGAAATCCTTGAATCGTCGACATGAGCAATAACGTTATTATTATTATTATTATTATTATTATTATTATTATTATTATTATTATTATTATTATTATTATTATTTTGCATCGACGATTTAAATCTTTCTCAAGAATTTTCTGGAAAATTTTAGCTCACATGGGGAGAGCAAAGTTACTAGGTATGAGAGATTTCAATCACAAGGAGATTGACTGGGAAAACCTGGAGCCCCCATGGCGGTGACTTTGTAAATGGTCCACCCAGCGCTTGGGCCTCGGCTCAAAGCTGGGAACTGACTTTGTAAATGGTCCAAGTCAGATCGAAACGTCGTCGTAAGCTCCCTCTCCTATGATAGTTTAACAGTTTAATATCTTTATTATTCACCTCATACCGATCCTATGGGCGGTAGTCACCCCATACCCATCCTACGGGCGGTAGTCACCCCATACCCATCCTGTGGGCGGTAGTCATCCCATACCCATCCTGTGGGCGGTAGTCACCCCATACCCATCCTGTGGGCGGTAGTCATCCCATACCCATCCTGTGGGCGGTAGTCACCCCATACCCATCTTATGGGCGGTAGTCACCCCATACCCATCCTGTGGGCGGTAGTCATCCCATACCCATCCTGTGGGCGGTAGTCACCCCATATCCATCCTGTGGGCGGTAGTCATCCCATACCCATCCTGTGGGCGGTAGTCACCCCATACCCATCCTGTGGGCGGTAGTCACCCCATACCCATCCTGTGGGCGGTAGTCATCCCATACCCATCCTGTGGGCGGTAGTCATCCCATACCCATCCTATGGGCGGTAGTCACCCCATACCCATCCTGTGGGTGGTAGTCACAACATTACAGAGGTACATAATTGGTCCAGGGACTGGACCCCAAAGTTTTGATAGCTTAGCAAGTTACAAAGGTAATGAACTAGATCTGGTCACAATTATGACAAGTTACAAAGGTAATGAATGATAAACACGCCCATACATGGTTACAGTCATGAACAAATTACAGAGTAATGGGCAATTAACAAACATTCTAAGGAATGCATCATTGCCCAAACAATAGATGTTGCTAGGTGCCTGTCCCTCCTCGGCAGGACAGCCAGAGAGCCATTGCAAACAGCAGCAGGTTGTGCCAGGATCTGTTGCTTGCAGGAGCATCAACGACCCTCCCCAAGAGGTCAGCGACTCCGCTAGCAGCCCGAGGGAGAGCCGCCCTGGGGACGTGTCAACGTCCTGGTGGACGCCAATTTGATTGCAGATCCCAGGCCCTCTGTAAAGGTGTAGGCGCAGCAGCTGTCTGTCTGCTGGGAGGGGCTGTTGATTGTTCCCACTTGGAGCCCTCCGGGTGCCCAGACATAAACTGTGCACACGGATGATGAAGCTTGAGGAACTGAGTGCACACTTCCTGTGGCACACCACAATTAGGTGAGTACACCTGACAGCTGCCTCGAGGTCGAACTCCACGGCGCTGTCCCTGTAGTGGAAGTTCACCTAGCAGTTATTAGGTACCTGGGTGTTAGTCGACTGGTGTGGGTGGCATCCTGGGGGACAATATTAAAGGAACTCAATGGAAATAAGACAGACTGTCCTCAATGACATACCGACTTTCCTGGGTTATCCTGGGTGGCCAATCCTTCCTCACCCGGGTTAAAATTTCAAACAAATCTTATCTTATCTTAAAGGACCCCAATGGAAATAAGCCACTTAGTCAGACTTTTTTGGGTTATCCTAGGTTCTCTACACATATGCTGCTATGTATGATAATCTATGTAACTGTATTTGAGATGCACAAATTAACATTAAGATCGACAACACTCTAATTACCAGACATAATGAGGGCAAATTCCTAGGCCTATACCTTGACAACAACCTGAATTTCAGCACCCATATCCAACACATAAAAAAGTATCCAAAACGGTTGGGATCCTCTCCAAGATACGATACAACGTGCCGCAAAATGCCCTTCTCACACTATACCACTCACTTATTTATCCATACCTCACCTATGCTATTTGTGCTTGGGGATCAACTGCAGCAACACACCTAAAGCCAATAATAACCCAACAAAAAGCTGCAGTAAGAATAATCACTAAATCCCATCCCTGGCAACACCCCCCCCCTCTTCATAGATCTAAACTTACTCCCTGTTCAGTACATCCACACTTACTACTGTGCAATCTACATCTACAGGACCTTAAACTCCAATATCAACCTTGACCTAAAACGCTTTCTTGATAGTTGTGACAGAACCCACAGGCATAACACCAGACACAAACATCTCTACGACATTCCCCGTGTCCGACTAAACCTTTACAAAAATTCAATGTATGTCAAAGGCCCTAAAATCTGGAACACCCACCTGAGAACTCTAGAACTGCAGACACATTCATCACCTTCAAAACTACCATTAGAAAACATCTTATCTCCTGATACACCCCATCAGCTAACTACACGAATATCACCTGGTGGTTCACACTTACACTCACCCATTTGACCATAAACAGAAATATTAATCTCAATCTTAAAATAATGAATCCTATGATACTCCAATACTGAAACTATGTACTGTGCTAAAACAAAAGCATTCACATTGCTAAACTCACAAACTAGTATTTAGTCACTTAGCCATAATACCAACTTACCTCATAATTTGTAATATTTTAAAATAATGAATTAAATTAAGTCTGCCCGAAATGCCTAGCCATGCTAGGCGTTCTAGTGGTACACTCTGTAATCATTATTTAACTACATGTAAACCACACAACAACCAAATTCTGTAAATTCAACATTGTAATCTTTATAGAGAATAAACTTTGAATTTGAATAAACTTACTTAAATAAATTGTGTATTAGCCCCGCGTCCTCTGGTCCGCTGTGATGTGTTTACATTTTTCTAACTAATTTCACCGATTCCTTTTTCTTGCCATAATATTGCATTCAGAAGTGGTCATTTAGAGGTATTTCGATATAGTTTCCATCTATAATATGGGAATATATTTATAATTTATAGAAATAGTTTCTGTTTACTGTAAAATGATGCATATGTATGGGTGGCGGCGGTGGTGAGGTTGTCAACATGTCTTCAGCTGACTGGGAGGAAGTCAAGCGCCTCGCTGCTGATTTTCAGCGAGCTCAGCTCTCCTCAGCTGTCCAGAAGTACGACTTCCTCAGTACTGTCTTCACTATAGGTTTAGCGGTTTAATGTCAATAATGTAATGTCAACACAGCACCTGAGACGAAGTTCTGATGTGTGCCATATGTATCAGAATAAGGAAAGTTTGACAGAGAATCCCAGTGGAAATAAGCCATTTTGCCTGAAGTTTTTCTTGTGGGTTATCGTAGGTAATTTGCATATACGTTACTATGGAGAATAATCACTGTGAGAAATAGTGAACTTTCATGTGCTTTCGTGATTTCTCACATTATCAAGGAACTGTAAAAATAAAATATCAGCATTAGGCATGTAAGGACGAGATTACACCTGGCAGTCAACTTACAACACCTGACTCTTCGTGATAAATGGTTTAAAAAGCAGTCAAATTGAAGATTGAGACACTTATGCAACATATGGGAATCTTTATTGAGGATACGTTTTGCCATACAGTGGCTTCATCAGTCCAATACAAGTCAGAAGAGTGTAAGGAGAGGAGGAGTTTGAAGTAATCAGTCCCTCAGCCTGGAGTCGATGTGTTCAGTCCATCAGTCTTGTAGTAAGTACAGGATAGGGCCATAGACGTGGCTTATATACTGTAGTGAGGTGAGGCAAAGCAGGAGGCGGCATGTTCATAGTGGTACCATCCACTAGTCAAAGTAGGTCTTCGTCCAAAAGTTAGACAAGTGTTGAAGAATTCTTTGTAACAAGATCCCATGATGCTGCAGTGTCTGACAGATGTGATAAATGGTTTAAAAAACCGACAAATTGAAGATTGAGACACTTATGCAACATATGGGAATCATATGTTGTAATAAAGTTGGTAGAATTACCCACAATATGTAAAGTAAAAGGACACAAGTGCAACTAATGTGACATTTTATTGTGGCAACGTTTCGCTCTCCAGGAGCTTTGTCAAGCCGTTACGGCTTGACAAAGCTCCTGGAGAGCGAAACGTTGCCACAATAAAATGTCACATTAGTTGCACTTGAATCATATGTTGCATAAGTGTCTCAATCTTCAACTTGTCGGTTTTTTAAATCATTTATCACATCTGTCAGACACTGCAGCATCATGGGATCTTGTTACAAAGAATTCTTCAACACTTGTCTAACTTTTGGACGAAGACCTACTTTGACTAGTGGATGGTACCACTATGAACCTGCCGCCTCCTGCTTTGCCTCACCTCACTACAGTATATAAGCCACGTCTATGGCCCTATCCTGTACTTACTACAAGACTGATGGACTGAACACATCGACTCCAGGCTGATGGACTGATTACTTCAAACTCCTCCTCTCCTTACACTCTTCTGACTTGTATTGGACTGATGAAGCCACTGTATGGCAAAACGTATCCTCAATAAAGATTCCCATATGTTGCATAAGTGTCTCAATCTTCACCTGACCCTTCATAATGATGCAGGTAAGGTGGTCAAAGACCTGTCAAACACTGCTTATATTCTATTCAAGCTTTAAGATTTTAACTTGTCAAATATATCTTAAATTCTTCCCAAATTTTATTAACTTGTCGAATATATTAAATTCTTCCCAAGTTTTATTAATTATAAATAAATCCAATTTACATAATCCTAAAGCAATATTCATAATAATTTCAAAATTAATATGAATATTGCTTTAGGATTATATAAATTTGATTAATTTATAATTAATAAAATTTGGGAAGAATTTAAGATATATTTGACAGTTTAAATTCTTAAAGCTTGGGTAGAATATAAGCTGTGTTTGACAGGTCCTTGACTAACTCACCCGCATCATTATAAAGGGTCAGTTGTAAGTTGACCGCCAGGTGTAATCTCGTCCTTACATGCTTTCTGTTGAGCTTTTATTTTTACAGTTCCTTGATGTGAGAAATCATGAAAGTGTTTGGTTATTCTGCATTTTGTGGTATCACCCATTTACTGTGATTTTACTGCATATATTGCTATGTATGGTCATTTGTGTAAGTGTATTTATATGTACCTGTATGTAAATAAACTTATTAACGCTTAAACTGTCCAAACGTAGATCTACGTCCACGTGCGGGGGGGGCTCCGAACGTCGATTTAAGTTTTTTTTTTTACATGCTTTCAAATGGGAAAATCAAAGTCGGAGCGCTACACATGTGAACATAGATCTACGTTTGGACAGTTTAAGGGTTAAGGATCTGATCAGCTTGATTCACATTAATTTTTTTTTTGGTTGCTATTGACAAAATTTTCTGGTTCCAAATTCTGTTATTTCTTAACCCTTTGAGGGGTCTGTGCCGTAGATCTATGGCTATACGTTGAGGGTCCAAACCGTAGATCTATGCCATGAACTCAGCTCACTCTGATAAGCTGTGAGCGGTAAATTTGGGCCTAGGTATGAGAGAATACATCTATGTGGTATGTGTGCACCACATAAAACAAATCCTGCAGCACACAGTGCATAACGAGAGAAGAAAAACTGAGACCATAATTTTCGATTAAAACAGTGACTTTGCAGTGTTTTTTCGTATGCTTTTTATAGTTGTATTTGCGATTTCATGGTCTCATTTCATAGAATGGAAGATACGTATATTACAGAAATAGAGATGATTTTGATTGGTTTTAGTAATGGAAATGGGTTGAAACTGAGCTCAAAATAGCAGAAATGTTAAATTTTTGACTCTGTTCAGGAGTAAACAAATGATCTCACACTTCTAATACATGCCAGCTGGTGGGTCTAATATACGTTCACAAATGTGGTGATATTATTTATACAGGTCCTCTATCACAAATCCAGCATCATTGGGACCTGTAGTGTGCCGGATTACTGAGTTTGCTGGATTACAGAGTAGTTAGGTTTGAATACACTTAATAAAATTAACCAACTTGACTGGCTCAAAAATCGAACATTTCCGGTATTTTGAGCTCAATTTCAAGGTACTTTTCATAATGAAAGCAATCAAAGTCATGTCTATTTCTGTAATATATCTTCCATTCTATCAAATGAGTCCAAAAAAATGAGAATACAACAATAAAAACCATACGAAAGTATGCTGCAAAGAGGCGGCTAATGGCTGAGAAGTGAACTCCCTTATTTATCATCTGTCTTTTTTAATTTTGTTGTACGTTAAGAAGCATCTTTCCATCATACATTGCCCAAGTTTCAATGAGATAGCCCAACAAACAACTGAGAAAAAAAAATATTTACCAAAAATTAATAACTTCACAACAGCAGTGACAAACATTGACTGGCACACTGAGCTAGAAATCTATATAGATATTGACGAATGTATTAATAATTTTCTAAAAAAGACCCAATTCCTTTATAACAAGCACTGCCCCAAAAAAACTAAACAGATGACAGCTAAGAGACTGAACAGTCCCTGGCTAACACCCAGCATCCTCACATCCATAAATACAAAGCACCTATACGAAAAACAGTACAGAATGGGTCACATAACCAGAGACCAAACAAAACATTACTCGTCAATCCTAACCAGCCTGATAAGAAGGGCTAAAAAACTGTATTATGAGAACAGATTATCCAACTTATGAGGTGATATAAAAAAGACCTGGAAAACCCTATCAGAAATTCTAGGAACAAAAAAGATATAACGAAATAGCGAAATTGAATTAACAAAACCAGATGAACCCCAACTCCCACCAACTGAAACAGCAAACAGACTCAATAATTTCTTCTCCACTATAGGAAAAAACCTTGCCAATAAAATCCCAAGCTCAGATACCCCTCCCAGTGACTACCTCACTGGCAACTACCCGAACACACTGTTCCTAGCTCCGACTAACCCTACTGAAGTCTCCCTTATTATAAACACACTAAAAAACAAGACATGAGATTTAAATACCTTACCACCCTTTATATACAAAAAAGCGTCACAAGTACTATCACCAGTCATTGCAACACTCTTTAACAAATCCATAGAATCCTCAACCTTCCCTACAGTTCTCAAAATAGCAAGGGTCACCCCGATCCATAAAGGAGGAGACCAAACAGACTTGAATAACTATAGGCCAATATCCAGCTTACACCCTCTCTCTAAAATCTTTGAAAAATTAATTCATAAGCGAATCTATTCCTACCTCACCTCCCACAACATACTCAACCCCTGTCAGTTTGGGTTTAGGCCTAATAATAATTCTAATGATGCTATTATACACATGCTAGAACACTGCAATAGAGAAAAAAGAAGTCCCACTGGGAATCTTCATAGACTTACGTAAAGCTTTTGATACAGTTGACCATGACTTGCTCCATATAAAATTGTCACACTATGGTATAAGAGGGCACTCCCTCAACTACCTAAAGTCTTACCTCAGCAACAGAAGCCAGTATGTGTACACAAACGGGGCAAACTCTTCAGCACAGCCAATTACAGTTGGTGTCCCACAGGGAAGTGTCCTAGGCCCTCTTCTCTTTCTTATATACATGAATGACCTACCAAATGCATCGCAACTACTCAAACCCACACTATTTGCAGATGACACTACATACGTCTTCTCTCACCCGAGCCCAGTCATGCTAGCCAATACACTGTGAATACCGAATTACAGAAAATATCTTCCTGGATGAGTACTAACAAACTTACTCTAAACATTGACAAAACCTACTTCATTCAGTGACAAAGTTTCAGTATGATTGGCCAACAAACAACAGAGAAAAAAATATAAACATAATTTTTATATATGGCAGCACGACCTGACAAATTGGCACTATGAGTGGCACTTCGACATTCCCAACTGTTAGAATACAACTAGCACGACGTTTTTACGTTGCCATTTCATCTAATATATCTTATTATCATGGTAAAAAAAAATACATTTGACAGAATTTTTGGCATTCGCCAAAATATCTGCCTTTTACCCCCCATAAAATAAAAAATATTTGAGATATTCCAAAAAATCTGACATTAATAATTCAAACACACTTTGTTTTATATTGTCTGTGAAAATCATTTCAATACAATCATTAATAATGGAGTTATGGAGCGAAATAAGTGAATAAGTTACTTCCGAGAT